GCTGCAAAAGTGATTAAGTAATCTTTAATTGCTTTGCGCGTGTTTGTTATGTACTGATAACTCACTGGTACTGCCTCTCAGCCCTTAGAAATGTAACTATCAATTTTTATTATGGAAGAGATTATTTGAAGAATGTGCTGAAGCATCATACTGATATGAGATGGGAGTGAAAAAAAATAATTCGAAGTTACATCTTAAGCACTCAGAATAGCAATAAAAAAAGAGTAATATTAAGATAAAGGAAAGGAGACACCAGAGAATCCTTTGAAATGACATAAATAACATTTAAAGAACTGGTTTTTTAATATATGATTCTGAAGTAATTTACTTTATTATTACTCTAATTTTCTCCATGCAGTGCCTACTACAGCAGTGACAATAACTTCTTCAGCAGAGCTGTACAAAACCACAGTGTCAACCACTAGCACTACGTCACAGAAAGGTCCCATAAGCACAACGTTGGCTGGAGGAACAAAGGAAGGAAGCAGAGGACCCAAGCCACCACCACCAGTTTCCACAACCAAAATTCCTCCCGTGACAAGTTTTTTCCCTTTGCCAGAAAGATTCTGTGAACCGACCGAGGCCAGGGATATTAGCTGGCCTCAGACACAAAGAGGAATGATGGTTGAACGCCCTTGCCCCAAAGGAACACGAGGTATTGGCTTTAAAAATACATCTTCATTTCAAGCAGACATTTCAAAAGCAGTGTGCTGCTCTCTGATGCTGATTTTTTTTTTTAATCTCAAGCTGTCCGTCACTCAGGTTTTTGTTACTCGGAGAATGCAGTATCTACAGGCAATGATCAAGTTTTAAACTGCAAACGGCATTTGAGCGTAGCTGCAGAATTACCTTGTGCATGGGCTTTTGAAAATCCAGGTCAAATTTTAGGGCTTTGTTTGAGAACTGTTGTGAAATATGCTTACAGCTGCCTTTCTCATTATGAGCTCCCCTCTGGATGAGCTCCAGGAAAAATCAAGGGCTTTTTGTTTGTTTGCAGAAAACGTCTGGTACTTTTCACTGACTTTTTTTTACTGCTGTTTGTAATCTACATTATTTCCTTACGTTTTTGTCAATTATTGTCAACTACTGCCATTAGCGGCATTCAGAATTTCACATTGCTTAGGAGCACAGCGTAGCCGATTTCCTGAATGCCTGCAGAAAAAATGGTTTCCATTTCACTGTAGTTTTCTACATCTGTTGTAGGAACTGCCTCGTATCTCTGCGTGGTCTTAACGGGAACGTGGAACCCCAAAGGCCCTGATCTTAGCAACTGCACCTCACACTGGGTAAATCAGCTGGCTCAGAAGGTTGGTTGAAACCTTTTAATCTGGTGTACACTGGTGATTAAGGATTTTAACTCCGAGCATTAATAATTCAGTTTGTTGAAGCCACCTTTATTACTCCGCATTCATTTATGGTAGAAGGAGTTGCGTGTACTTTGTGGGCAAAGCAGTTAGGTTCATGCGTGTGGTTTGGTGTGCTCTCCCTCTAAGTTCTTGTATGGAATTTGTGATTACGTGTTTTCGTCACTATTTAAAGCAAAGTAGTTTTGCTGATGTTCAAAAAACAAAAGCTGTATTTGCTTAATAAATCCAATATTATAAATCACGCAGCAAAAACAGTGGTATGCAGCAAGGTTTTTTAGTTCAGGAAAAATTATACTGTAAAAAACAGGTTTTTGTCTGAGTGCATTAATAACAGTATGATTAGAGCACAGAGCCACTTTCTGTGTTTTCCCTCCCTACTGAGATTTACTAAGTTTATGAAAACTGGATAATTTGTTGTCAGTACCAGGCTACTTGACTTTCAAATGCCTCAAGCACTGGTACGAACAAATAGATTTCTTACTGTCTGATAATGGCAGTAAAATAAAAGTGAGGATGAATAGAAGATCTAGCCCAAAAGTCCCAGTCTGATTTCTAGTTTTGACGGCTGTTAAGAACTGCTTTTGTGTGTCACGGATCTAAGAACCTTTAATCTTCTGAGATAAAGAGAACGTTATTGGTCTCAATTAGTTGCAGATTTCAATGTATGTGCAAATGGTTATTTCACCACAACAAAGGTACACGGGGAATTGGAATTAGGAGCCGCAAGCAGAACAAGGGACCCTGCTGAGATAATACAAATTGTCATTTTAGATCAGAAGTGGAGAAAATGCTGCTAGTCTGGCCAACGAACTGGCTAAACACACCAAAGGACCGGTCTTTGCTGGCGACGTGAGCTCATCAGTGAGGTTGATGGAGCAGCTTGTGGACATTTTGGATGCTCAGCTGCAGGAACTGCGGCCCAGTGAGAAAGACTCTGCTGGAAGGAGTTATAACAAGGTACACACTTCCCGTCACCTCCTCCCGCTGGGATAACCATTGCCCTGATTTTATTTTTTTTTCCCTTTCAGAAATATTAATCTATACTTTGTTCCTGCGTGCTTATAGTTCTGGAATAAACACGTAAGAGGAAATAGCAGTAAATACACAGCAGAAAGTTGCAATTACCTTCTTTGGGGAATAAGATATAATTCACAGTAGCTGGCTGGTCCTAAAATACATAGCTGTGTTCCCTATTAAAATCTGGAATGCATTATAACTAGTGTGAGGGAAATGGGCATTAGCCCTCAGAAATTCTGTAACAAATCAGCGTGTTTATTCAGTGATCCTTTTAACCCTGAACATGTAATAAAATCAGTGGGATTCTGCATAGGTGCAGACTTCTCTGACTTTTTGCAGAATAATAGCACTTTCTTAGCCTTTTAAAGGCACCAACATCACTTATAATTGATCTTTATAAAAATGCCTTAATACACTTATCTAAAACACGAATAAGGGTTTTCTCCAGAATGATGTTCAGAGAAACATTTCAGAGAAGACTTAATGTCTTTGTGGCTTAAATGCAAATCACAAGTGTTACTACCACTCCTCTTGTCAGAGGAAATGCTGTATTTCTTGTCCTCTTCCTTACATCAGCTTAGTCAACAAGTTCTCAAGGAAACATTTTTTCATCCTGCTTTAGAGAGAGAGCTCTGTGCACTCCTCTGTTATTTTGGCAATAGTTTTATTTACAATCCCTAGCTGCTCTTAGAAGAGTTTTCTCGGAGACAGATCAAGTGCCCACACAGGGATTTTCTCCTTTGACCTTTTCACACAAATCCCACCGTTTGGGCAAAGATATCCAGGCACATGTATAAAGGTTGGGGAAAAACATTTCCTGTGTGATGTTTTTTATAGTCCACGCTGGACAGAAACTCAATTCATTTCCAGGCTAGAGTTCAAATTCGGGATTTGAAACACCAAACTGATTTTTTGATATTTCTGAAGGTTTCCAGCTTATGTCTAACTTCTGATTTTCTTCTTTCTTACTAAAAAGCTCCAAAAACGAGAGAAGACATGCAGGGCTTACCTTAAGGTATCTCTCCTGTGCTGTCACCCTGCTTTCTCCCTGCTTCAGCAACCTGCCACGCTTTATCATCTTGCTGCATGATCCTATGTCCAGTCTTTGATAAATGTGTATTGTGCCCCATATCAGCTGTACAAATGTTGGCTTTGCACAGGTGTAACACTCAGGAAAAAAATTAAAGATCAAAGTTTATTCCTTTTTTTACCTCAACTTGTTGAAAACTAAAATGGCAGAAATGGTTATTATCTGAATTGGAAGTAACATCGCTCTCATACGAGTTTGGGTAGAGCAAAAAGCTGGCAACTGGGGAGAAGTTACTTCAACTTGGTAGTATTTTATATCAAAGACTGTTTAGAGTTAATTTGCTTGCATGAAAAATGTACATTATATGGCCTGTTTTGTTTTTTGTGTATTCTTATACCTAGTAAAATCACTCTTTCTTACAGTTTTAAGAGCTGTTACAAAGGCCAGATTCAGTGACTAAAGGATAAAGTGTAAAGACAAATATTGCTGTAATTTCGCTAGCAAAGGGTGTGCCACGTGTCCCATTAACCGGGCTATGTGGAAGGCATGTAACATAACACATTGCTGCCCCACTTGGAGTGTCCCTCATCTGCTAGGGAATGGTTGTCCTGCTCTGCAACACAATGCCAGTGACGCCACCTCACGCCTGCGAAGAAGAGCAAAAAGTCCTACAACAGATCACGGCTGGCTCTGAAAAATTTTATGGCACATTTTTTCAAAGTTTCTTTGAAAACGCTGGTTTTTACTTGTACTCTCTGAGATAAAATATGAGAACAATTTTTCAAAAGAACTTTGAAATACTTCGCAACGTAATAAAATAATTCAGACTCGTTTCTCCGTACAGGGTGCTTCTGTCTTTTATCCTGCAGCCCAGGTAGTAGATGGGAGATATCCAGCTATGAGAAAAAAATTAAAGAAGGAGGCAAAGAACTGGAGAGAAATTCACTTCTCAAATAATATTAATTGTAATAGTATTTTGTTAGAAAATATTCTTTTAATAGTAAAGGGAAATCCAGTGGATAAGGTTTGAGTAGACTGAGTTTTCATACTTGATTTTCAATAGTAAACATGAATGTGAGAACAGCAGTAATGGAGCAGCTCTGGCAGCTGCGTCACAGGAGCTCCGTGGTCTCCCCACCACCTGTCCGGGAGGAGAGGATGCCTCCGAAGTATTCCTGGGCAGTGATCATTTTCCATGGGAAAAATGCAGGATTTGATCATCCCATAATAAATAAAAAGCACATCCTATTGATGATTGCATACCATCAGCGCTATATAGTGACACACAAGAAACTGCAGCACAACCTTAATTTCCAACCGGTGTCATTTTCTGTAGGTCTCAAATGGGCTTCTCTGCTTAGATAAGACTAATAAACCTCTTGAAATTACAAATCAAAAGCTGACTTACACTATGCAAATGAAGCAAAGTTCCCACTTTGTGACAGAGGATTCATTTGTACCTCAGATTAGAGACTCCAATCTGTATTTCTTGGTGACTAATGAATCTGGCCTCTGCAGACCAATTTCTGTTCCACTCTAGTTAATGGCTGCAGCAGTATCAGTGTGAGCATTTTGACTATTCTGTCTCCCATTAGAGAAAGAAAAAAGGCTTTAATGCCACTTCGAAGTATCTTCCACCTGCCAGGAAGGTCGTGGTGGCTCACAATGCAGACAGAAAGAGGATATTAAAATGGATTAGGCTAATTAATCTTGCTCTGACAATAGCCTTGACCAACTTTTCCTATTCCTTTATTTGCACAATAAAGTATTCCAGACCCACGTCTTCCTGTTTGTACAATGTGTTCTGTTTCCATTCCCAATGCTTTTAAATTGATCAAACAAATTATCTATATGCTTAATGACACATTATGACTAGGTAAATGGGACAGAGTAGACAGGGGGTTTCAGCAATGCATGGTGTGCTCAGTGCACAGCTACATTATGCATTAATGTAAGAGCCTGCCTTCAATTGATTAACTGATTACTCTGATTGATTGGATTATTTTGTAAAAATAATGTAATCATGTCACTGAATTCTTCTTCTTCCTTATTTACTGTTACTTATATGCAGCTTAATGAACCTTAAAATGTGGTGATAGAGTTGTTGCAAGAAAGACTTTTCAAAATGGCAACTTCATTCAGTTTTACCGTTTTGCCTTTGCCGATAACAGGGACAGTCAGTGGACATCTTGTTTGCTCTATCGATTTCCTTTTTGAGCTGACCTTTGTGCAGGAATGGGAGTTAGTCATCTTTTTAAGTATCTTTGAACAGGTACAGGAACAGGAGGGGGAGTGAGAGTGGCCTGGGCTAATTTATATCCACTGAGTCAGCTTCATTTCATGCCTCCTGTAATAAAGAAAGCAGTTTGTCATCGACAAGTAGTTCGTAGTGCTATGGCTGCGTGAGTTTCCAGAAGAATATTATTGTCTTCTTAGCCTAAACTGCAGATTTTGAAACAGAAGTTACACATTTTAACATTAACTTCTAGATTAAAGCTCCAGGCAAAAATTCTAGCATTTATTTCTACATTTTTCAGCACGTTAATAAGACTGTCTTTCTATCTGACATAAGAGGAGTGAAGTCTGCATGTTTGCCGCTTAGAGACCGCACAATGCTAGTGGGTAACTGCACTTCTATTAATGCTAATCCAGCAAGAGGATTGAAAATATTTTTGTGTTGAAAATAGTTTTCTAGTGCCATTAAATCACAGTAAATCATTCTGACAGTTAAGTATTATAATTGTCGTCAGATAACACTGGAAATTTTCCCCAGCTGCCTGGGGCAATCAGACCTAATGATAGTTTTCTAACGAATGCAGGCAATTGTGGATACAGTGGACAACCTGCTCAGGCCTGAAGCTCTGGAGTCCTGGAAGGACATGAATTCTTCGGAACAAGCCCATGCAGCCACAATGCTACTCGATACATTAGAAGAAGGGGCTTTTGTCTTGGCTGATAATCTCTTAGAACCAACTAGAGTCTCAATGCCCACGGAAAATATTGGTAAGTAAATTTATTTTCAAGCATAATTTAAAGTGTTGTGCACTGCTTTACACAAAATCAGGAAAAAAATATTCCAGGGATTGACATACTCTCTGAAAGCCGAGCTGCACAGCATTTGGTGGCAAGGTAAACGCTCCTAAGCAGGGGAGACACGCTTTTCTTGTTTAGTTATTCAAAATTAGCGTTCTTCTTTAGTGTCATTAATACAGTGTAAAATGGAAGGTAGTTGATACTGCAAAGTTGATTTACCGCTGAAAAATCATTAGCAGAAGTATGGGTATGAAGAGTGCTTAAATGGCAGAGTATGGATTTTTTGAGGTAACTGCTTTCTGTAGAGCAAAAAAATCCTGTTATATATATAATCTGCTCCTAATGAATTTAAATTACTTTTTTGCAACATACTCTGGCAGTTAAATCTTTTAGGCACTCAGAACATAGGCCAAATGTTTATATTAAACATGACTGCCTTCAGGTAAAAACGTGTTCAGTGAACTACGTCTCCCATAATGCAGAATAGCTATGCTCCAGAGCCTGCAAGATAGCTGAAGATAGTTGGAGCATAATTTGGAATTTAAGTGGTGACAGAGAAAGGAAGGGGTTTGGTATTAGAGGTGTGTAAATATTGGTACACTGGATGTGTTAAAGCAAAAGTCATTGGTATGTGTAAAATTAAAATTCCTTCATCTTATTACAAATTAATGTAGTCTCAGAGAGGTACAAGGAAGCTGAAAGTCTGTGAATTTGAGGGGTACCGAGATGGAGATTTGGGTAGACTGCAGAAATGAGACTTTTCACATTTCAGTGGCTGCATATATGTAACTGCATAAAATGATTCTGCCTAGTTTTTGAGTAGGAAGGTGCAGGGAGAGGTGTTACAGTCCCTTATCAAAGTACCTGCACGAGCTGTTTCTGCAGGAATGAGGCTACAGTCACAGAAAGTCTCTCTCAGGATGTGCAGGAGAGTTTCATGGGGCTCAGTGGGCTGGCTGGACATCACTTCTCCTGATGTTCCCTCTTCAGGCCGTAGCAACGCGTTGCTGAAGCCACGCAAGACTAATTTCCCAGTGCACATACGTTTGTGGGGCTTAGAGAAAGTGAAGTCATTCCCTAATTTCATACCTTCTGTTAGTCTATAATTTAGACCTGTAGTTGAACCACTTTAATGTAACGTAGGTGTTTGTCAACTAGCTGACAGCTCTGACCCGTATGATTTTACATATCCGAGGGAATCCAGCCTTCAACAGTGATCCCATGAAAGCTTCCCGATATACAGTGTGTTATAAAATTAAATCTTAAGTAAGTACCTCTGAGTTTTCAGTTTAAATATTTTTAGCAGAACCAATAAAATGATTTTCTATAAACCTTTATACAGAATTAGATATAGGAAAAAAATTAGACCTTTTTTTAGGTATAAGTACTGATTTAGCTAAATACATAGCATGTGTGTACTTGGGTATTTGCTGACTGCTTTAAAAGCTGTTTGTAAGTCAATACTTAAAGTTCTAAATTTGTTAGCAGAGGATACTGCATAGATGTCAGTAGCATCAAAATTAACATTGAAACGTGTGTGTGGTGTTTTTAAGTGGATGTTTGGGGGGCACAGATGAAAACAAGGTTTGATATGTTACCACTATTAAAGTGCTGTCATTTTGGTAGTGTGCATTAGGTTTATTAAACTAACTCTCTGTATTTGAAACATGCAGTGTAAATCTGTCTTACGGTGGCAAATGAGGACAGCAGTGTGAGAAAACTAAATAAAGAGGTGGGGGGAAATACTATCATCTGGCATATTGCAGCCCGGCCAAGAGACTTCTTTTGCAGTCTCCCTTTTTTACCACTTTTTTTTTTTTCTTTTCTTTTTTCCCTCCCCTCTGGTCTGCTTAGTTTTGGATGTTGCAGTGCTCATTACTGAGGGCCAGGTGCAGGACTTGAAATTTCCCCAGGGCAGTAAAGGAGGCAACTCGATTCAACTCTCCGCAAGCACCGTGAAACAGAACAGCAGGAACGGTGAGTCTTGGGCACGGAGCGCTGAAAATCCATTACCTTTTATAAAACCTGCGTTACCTCCCTTAGTTAAAATATCAAAACACAACAGAACTGCTCTGTAGCTTTTCCTCATAGATCTTGGGTGTCTGGACGTTTTTCTTCAAATCCATAGCCTGAAAATGCTTCTCTGTTTACTGATGCTTTATCGTCAGTTCGTTACAGGTGGCTGTCTTTCTGTAAACCTCTGTAGCATGATGGTGGGATTGTTTTTTTTTTCTTTTTTTAGGATTAGCAAAACTGGTTTTCATCATTTACAAAAGTTTGGGGCGTTTCCTCAGTACTGAAAACGCAACCATAAAGCTCGGCAGCGACTTTGCGGGGCGGAATAGCACCATCGCGGTCAACTCCCACGTCATTGCAGCCTCTATCAACAAGGAGTCCAGCCGGGTGTACCTGACGGATCCTGTGCATTTTACACTGGAACACATTGATGTGAGTTATGCTAATGAATTAATGGGAAGGTCATAAAATCAGCAAGAGGGAAATGCAATGCAGAAAAATAACCTTTTTTCCATTTGAATTGTAAATGTCGGACTAGGTCAGAGACACAAGCTCAGTTAAGTCTATGAACATAAAATTAAATGAGCCTGGTTCAGTGATTATTAGAACTTAAGTGTATTCTTAATGAAAGCTAATTCAGTAATCAACATGAAAATGTAAATGACTAATTTGTTTCTAACTGAAAATTAACTCTTACCTTAGTAGCAGGGTAGAAAATAACCGTTAAGATTCTTGATGGTCCAATGTAGCAATTTTAATGGCGCTTTTTGACTTTTCGGACCAAGTTCTGGAAGCCTATGCAAATTGTTCTAATGCATTTATTCACTGAAGAATATTTATCTTAGCATGTTATACTCTAAATTTGTGTATATTTTCTTTACAGTTTTTTTTCTTATGTTTATTTTCTTGTTAGTTTTGTCCTTTCTGTTTTCCTGACTCACATGGGGAGAGTAAATAATCACTACCGTGACAGAGAAAACATGGATGAATTTTCCTCTCATTTTACTTGTTTTTATAAATCTGTTTTGATTGTTTTATCATCAAAATAGATGGGCATTGAAGAATGTACTTTTTCCTGATGTCTGTTCGCATGAATTTTGTCAAACCAAAGCTGAGAATCTAAGGAAAAAGATCATATTTTCAAATTCTCAGTTAGAGGAAAAATATCATCAGAATAAATCCACAGTCCTAATTTTGCAGAAAGCCAAGCTGGCTGTAATGTACCGTCAGTGCATAAAATCGTAAGATGGAAATTGTAATTGTTTAAAATGGGGTCTACAGTAATTGAGACTACACTTTAGACTGTTTCGGACTATAAAGTCCCTTTTAAACTAGATGTCTTCCTTGTATAACATAGCCCACAATTTTGCTGATGAAAAACTTTATTGCCCGAAACATGCAAAGTTTAATCTGAATTACCCTTTACACATATTAAACAATTGTTATTGCCATCTTAGTGTATAAAATCCTTATTTTATGTTATCGTTTTATCTCCCAGCCTGACAATTATTTCAATGCAAATTGTTCCTTCTGGAACTACTCGGAGAGAACTATGATGGGATACTGGTCAACTCAAGGCTGCAAACTGGTTGACACAAATAAAACTCATACGACGTGTGCCTGCAGTCACCTCACCAACTTTGCAATTCTCATGGCTCATCGGGAAATTGTGGTAGGTAATGATGTTTCTAGCCATCAGCAGGGAACAGGCTTTTAAAGATTTAGTTAAAAATCTAAAGATTTTAACGAGGTCCAAAATTGTGGAAGTTTCTCAGGTATTTATAGCTTCTGCCCGCTCTTTCCAAAGCAATTTGCTTTCTGTAGCGCTTTTCTTCCTCACCCATGAAGTTACAAGCGAAGTAACAGGAAAGAAAAACAAAGACGGACGAGAATTTTCTTTGAGTCGTATTTTAAAGTTACTGACCAGTCTTACAACCATTGTACAGACTTCCCCTCAGTACAATGGGAGGTGCAGCAGTGCAGGCTGTTCCCTGGCGCAAATGCCAGCTCTCCTTAGATCAAGAAGGCCGAGGAGCTTCCGTACTCGTTGTTTAAATGCCTCTTCATACTCTGAAATTTTGTTGTCTAGTTAAAGCACTTTGTGGCTGTCAGGGAGCATGGAGCAGGCAGTGTTTGCAAGGATACCACACTTCTCATAAAGCCATTGTATTCGGAAAGATGGCTGAAAAGATAACCGAGATAACAAAAGTGATTCTGTCGCAACCGAAGCAAGGAACCTTCTTTAGCTAAATGTGTGAGATTAGAGCTGGAATTGCATGAGTGACATATTCGGCATTTTGTCTTAACTTGTGCATAAACTGTTGCTTTCTTCTCTGCTGTGGAGTTGCAGGTCTGTAGGAAAGAACATGTACTTACAGGAAGTCCCAGGGAAGGCTCTGCTTTTCCTTTGCATCAGAGCCTAGCGGCACTTGGAAAATGTTGTGTTTCTCTACTTGTTCTTGTCTGACAGGTTTACAGCGAACCATAGGAAAAGTAAAAATGCTCTCTGACCTGGCTAAAGTAGTCATCCATTTTTCTCTAAGACGTGCTGCTCTTTTGCTTCCCCTAATCTTTAATCTTGCTCTTCTGGGAAGTTGGCCTGAGACTGAGAAATTACTGAGTACATTTGCCCATCCCATGTAATGAGCAAGTAAATTTTCTGGATGCTACCTGTGAAAGTAGTTTTTTGTTTATACTCATAAAGAGTCATATTAATTTTCTCCATTCTTGGTTATTTCTAGTACAAAGATGGAGTGCACGAATTGCTCCTCACTGTCATCACCTGGGTGGGAATTGTCATCTCTCTTGTTTGCCTGGCCATCTGCATCTTCACATTCTGTTTTTTCCGTGGCCTGCAAAGTGATCGTAACACTATTCACAAGAACCTTTGTATCAACTTATTCATTGCTGAGTTCATTTTCCTAATAGGCATCGATAAGACAGAGTACAAGGTAAGTTTTCTCTGTGTGTACTGATCTTGTTCTCTGAAATGACTGCTTGAAATGGATTTGAATTAAAACATGACAACGCTGCCAGGCTTTCAGCATTCTGACATAGAAAGGCTGAAATAAAAGCTCGGTGTGGAAATAAAATAGACATGTTCATAGATGGTATTTACATCCATCAAAAATATCACTGTGGCCTTAATTTCCCGCTTACTGCTCTGTTATTCATTTTCAGTTGAGAAACATCGGCTATTAACGAGACAGGTGGTTAAACTTTTGAAAGAGGAGAGGAAATTAAATGTTGACATACTGGGAACATATATAGGTTTTCTCTATATATTCCTATGTCACTACTTTTTTGTATAAATATGTATTAGTACACAGCCTTATCTATATATTTACACATTTTTTACAGTGTGTATTAATGTAGATTTTTTGGCGGTATTGGTGAAATTAATTCTGAAGTGATTTATAGGGTTGAAATATAATAATTCAGCATAATTTCATCCAGAACTCAGCCAAAGGGGAGAGAATTCAGATTGATTTCTGTTATGACAGTAGAAACTTCCAAATTACAGCAGATAAAAATGGCTTGATGACCGCTTCATAATTTTAAATAAGCAGTATTACATTATGCATCTAGAGATTATCTAAACTGTAAGTCTAAAACCATATCAGTTTCAAAGTTAAAAAGTTGCTTATAAAATCAAAATGTCCAATGATTGAAGACTAGGGGGTGAGGGCATGATGCGTTTATCTTCATTCATACTGTTCAGCTCATTTACTTTCTGTAGCTACTGAACACACATTAGTATTTTCAAATATTTGGTCTAGGTTTTCAGGTAGAGAAAAACCTCCTGAACTTGTGAAAGTCTCTGATAAAAGTATATGCTGTTCTGTTGCACTAATAGGAGATGTAGTGATATGATGATTTTGTGGTTTATATTTACACATTTCTTTTTCTTTGCAGATTGCATGTCCAATATTCGCAGGTCTCTTACACTTTTTCTTCCTGGCAGCCTTTGCCTGGATGTGTCTAGAAGGAGTGCAGCTTTATCTAATGTTAGTAGAAGTATTTGAAAGTGAATATTCTAGGAAGAAGTACTATTACGTTGCTGGCTACCTCTTCCCTGCTACAGTAGTTGGTGTCTCAGCAGCTATCGACTATAAGAGCTACGGAACAGAGAAAGCGTAAGTAATTGCAAGTGACCTGAGTGTTTTTCAAGTGAATAATTTTTTAAAGCCTATTAGCTGTCAGAGGGTCCCTGACAGACTAAAATACCGTCTGAAAGCTTTATTCGTAAGAGAATGGCAATGCTGTGCACAAATTACAATCAAGTCTTTTGTAATTCTCTAGGTTCAGAGGATTTGTACTCTAGAGAGACCGATTCTAAATTATGGTCTTTCTTTTAACACAAAAGATTGACCTGAAACAAATTGAAAAAGTAAATAACTTTTTGGCCTCAAATGTATATTAAGTAAAAATTCTCAACTTAAAGGATCTGACAGGCCTAACTACCCAGTTTTAAGCTAATGCTTCATTAGATCTCTTTGTTCAACTGCCCCTCTAGCTAACTCTCGTCCTGAATTATGACAGTACAATATTCCAACCCATATATTTCACTTTGATAATATTTTATCAGGCACATAGAGTGGGATTCAAATTAGCCGCTGCCTTTTATTTACAAAAATATAGATAGATATAGAAAGTGACAGAAGGTAGATAGAAAACATTTCTGAGGACCTGAGTTGCTGGAGGCATGAATTCACCTTGCGATAGTGTTTACTTTGCCCTTTGATGAAATTAGTTACAGAATGGGAAGATACTGTTGACTACAAGAAAGCTGCTTGATTTTGCTGCTGCTGAAAGGCAAATAAGAGCAATTCAGCAGGGAACTGGGCTGTATGAAAAACGAATCGCTAAGCGAAGTCAGCCCTAATAGGTTTACACGTCGTTTAGTCTGGTATCATATGTACGCTTGCGCTACTGTTCAACTCCCAGTTGGGGCATTTTATTTATACCATATTGTTTTTCAGCAAAACATGGCATCTGAACATTTTGTGTCTCGTATTCCTCAGGAGTAAGCATTTTGCATATGATACAAAGTTAAATGCAGATTTTGAAGAGTACATGGAAAACCTATGGAAAATACTTACTGAAGGTAGATTCGTTAGTCCATGACAGCCCCTGTGACCAAGCCTTCTGGCTGAAAGGAGAGAGAGCTCGTTTTAGCTTTGTTTCATCTTACATGTTAGCTATTCCTGATGAGGTATTTTCAAGTTCGATAGTGTTATTAAACAGGACTCATGAGGAGAGTTTCAGTTTAGGAAAAATTGTCCGTGGACTAAGTGTTACTGTGCAACGTTTTGTTTACTGGGAAAATGTTAGCTTAAGAAGTATTTTTGCACTTTCTATTTATTGGACTGAGGTGCTAATGCAATTGTTCACTTTTCGCTCTCTTTCTTTTCCATCGTAGTTGCTGGCTCCATGTAGATAACTATTTTATCTGGAGTTTCATTGGACCTGTTACCTTTATTATTCTGGTAAGAACTTCGGTTTTCCCTTTCCCTTTCTCTTTCCATTTCCCTTTCCCTTTCCTCACAGCAAAGTTAAAAAGATTGAATAACATCACTCAATACCATCCTTATTCACAAGCCATTTCATGGAACTGCTTATAAACAATTTGTAATGTGACCAATGGTTATATAAATGTTTAAAAATCTTTAAAGAGTGCTGACCAAATGATTAATTGTCAAAGCTGTGGTGACACTTCGGCATAGACCTCTTTTCCTAATGGCTTGAACTCTGAAGGTCATATCGACATGTCATATGAAAAGTCAATGAAGTTTTAAACACAGTTTTGGGGTTTTTTTAAAGGAACCATTATTACTGCTTTCAATTGAGACACTATTGTACACATTCCAAAATCTAACTGCTAATTATCTAACATAATTATCTCAAAAGGGTGTTCTAACCCGTTTGGTAATTAAAGAAATCTTGTATTTTGTTACGCTTACACGGTATTTGTATGTGTATTTGCATATGCATATTTTTCCATGACTATTTCTATGTGTATTTATGCAGCATGAAATGTATGTCAGAAATACAAGTTAATCTGTTTTAGCATAAATAATAGAATATTATGTAACCAGTAGAAAGCATGTACACGTTCTTGCAATCATTTGAGTACCGTCGTTGGATCTGTGCACACCCACCTGTGTACCCGCAGCTCTTGTCCATTCGAGGTTGAATGTTGTGTTCGTACATCAAATACCCTTTCTCTGAGCACTTTCAGATAAAAAGCGCAGGGAAAATTCAACACTGCACAACATAGGAGGTTGTAAAGAAGGTGAATGCATTTTGGCTCGTCCTGTTTTTTTCTGCTGGTTCGCTTTAAAGCCTGGCTATACTTCGGAAGATTCTGGAAACCTGGTGCTGACGACGTAGCCTCTGTGCATGGAGAGCCTTTCCCATAACTGCTGATAGTTTACGTGCTTTTGAAAGTCCAAATAGTTGCCTGTTCCCCTGCCTTTGTACAGTAGTAGAGCTGCGAAATGATAACAGAAGTTTGGATCCCTAATTCAGGAATTGTATTTTGTCATTATTATTTTTCAGCCTGAAGTACATGCATCAGGCATAATTTTGAAATTTCTGATTCTTATAGATCTGTACGCCAGGTGTACGATTTCAGCACGTTTTGTAGTTTATAGGTTACAATACTTCTTCATGTAAAAATAAATTGATGCTTTGTTTATGGAACTTTCTATAAAAAACGTACAGGGACAGTGTTTTATAGGCACTTTATTCCTTCTTGGTATCTTCAATATTGAAATAAGCTTTAAGTTGTTTTTACTTTCTGCTTATACCCAAAACTATTTCAATCCTTGAGCAGTCACTTAAGAACAGATAATTGTGCAGCATAGAAGTTCTTTGAATTCATTGGCATATTTTCAAAGAAATAGGCATAGATGCCAAAACTCATGTGTGTATGAGTTTAATTAGAAGAATTATAGTGTTTGCAAGATTTAGGTATAGACCATAATAATTATACAGTTTATTCTAAATATATTTAAATTAATTCAAGTCTCATAATGGTAGGGAATCTTTTTTAATTAAGCCAACTATTACAGTTGTCTCTAAAAAATACTTCTTATTTTCAATATGATAAACGATATTTTTCAGTACAGAGTTATTTCTTGCCATTGTTGTTAACACTGCTAGAAAATTGTCTTAAGTTTTGTGCCACAATAGTTCAGCTACCTCAAGTCTGATTGTGTGATGATTTTGCGTTTTGTATCTGGCTTTTTATTTTATTGTTACTGGCAGTATTTTGCTAAGTCTCCTCTATTTCTCTCCCTTTCTTTAAAATAACATTTCACGTGGGAAGCTTTGGGCATTGCTGACGGCTTTTTCACTTCCTCATAACCAGGTCAGAGTGAGAATAGAGGTGAAGGGCATTTAATCATATTGACCATGTACAGACATAGTTCACTATTATTTACTGGCCATGACATTATTATCCTCCAGCAAATCATTTAGGCTGAGACGCAAAAGGCCTTTGGGAGCAGTATTCCCAACTTCAAAAATATGAAACAGCAGGTAGCAATCACAGCACAGTTCCTGAGAGTAATTCTTCTCTAGCAATTGCTTTGCCCTCTAATCGTCCCAACTGAGAACGCAAGAGAGACGGGAGGAAGAAGTGTGAGAAGTGTAATGGCTGAAAAATAATATGTCATGCGCAGTGTAATCGAAGAGGCAGATTCCTTAGTGTCAGTAGCGCGTGAGAATTTCACCTTGGTAAGCTTTATAACATGTTGCTCAAATCACTTTTATGATTCTCAGTTTGATAGTACTGTCAATGCACATAAACTCTTTTCTGACAATATTGCTTCCTGCTTTAATTTAGATTTTTTTCTCTGAGTTTCTAAGCATTTGCACTTGTTATCTGTATACAGGTTTGCACAAAACGGGGGCGGGCAATGTGAGGGAGAAGTATGAAGTTCCTCAGTACATCTTCTGAGGAACTTTCAACTTCACTATTTCCATAGCCTGTCATGCCTTTGGGCACCAGGGTTATTATATCTATGAGAAAAGAGCATGTAAGTAATGAGCGGTGGGAAACCATTAGTATGCCTGAAATGGTCTAATGAAAGCTTGGATCATGATACGTCAGGAGCTGTTCTTATCATTTGGACAGCTCCATCTGCGTCTTTAATAATTAATTCAGTTCAGTAAGAGTTCAGTGTGCACACTCATTTAGAAGCCTTCTTCCGAGAGCACCTTTCTCGCTGCCAGTCCCAGAGAGAAATAGGCTTCTGCGTGGCTAAGAGCAAAGATCTGGAGATACAAGAGCAGTTTTAGAGCTGCATTTGCCAGGTAACAAAAGCTCCGGGGAGTTCAAAAAGGGTCGGAACATGTGCAGTTCAGCTAGGTTACTTCAGAGTGGTGTTTCTGTTCTTCTGTCTTATCATATCCATGTCAGCACTGCAGGCTGTGTGGAACGAATTTTAAGCTGCTAAGCTCAGGCAGACGTGATTCAATTGAGCGGGTTCGTGGCTATAAAACAAACAGGGCACTGCTGTAATCGGTGGTCAGAAAAGCCTGAGTATTTTACCTTCTGTGTAAATCCATATTCATTTGTATCCAAGGAATGGGTGGTGTTGGTTTGGCTTCAACTCAGCCAAAACTCCAGGAGTTTGCTTCTTGCAGGTGGAGCCAATGTATTAGCTTCCAATGGCTGTTGAAGCAAAAATTCGCAGCATGTCCTGTTTCATTGACATAGGAAAGATTTTTCACTCATTTTGAGGCATTACTTCACCCAAGTCAGTGGATGTACAGATACAGGTGCATACATAATTGAGCTCCACATATGAAAATAGACTGTATTTTTAAGCTTATGAATATAAATAATACATATTTATCTTTCTATAGTAGAACTTGAGAAATGGTATTTATCTTTGCTCACAGGGGGAAATTTATCATAATTATTGCAAAATCTGGCTTTATTTGTCTACTGATTCTTTATACCTGCAACTAATTCCAATCCATTAGTCTTCTGTGCAGGTTATTACATCCAAATTTTTAAAAAGTTAATTTGGATTGAAGACACCTCCTCTCTCTAAATTGCATAGGTTTCAGGTGCCAGAAAGACAAAATTCCTACTTACACCATTTTTCCTGTCCAGTAACTTTGAGTTTCCAAACCAGAAATGGCCCTCTGTTTGTTGGCTGTGAAAGAAGCATGGTCTTCCAGGGTGCTGCATTTGATTATTACCATAAAAATTCTTCAAATTTTATATTTTAAAGTAGTTACCTTTTGCTCTGTTCTATCCAGTTACACTTGTTGTATTAAAAGATAAGTAGGAACTGATATTTTAAAAGGTACTACTTATTTTTATTTTATTTTTGCGTACACTTCTAAAAACGAGGTGTAAATTAAGCTACTTCTCTATCTAATCCAGCATCCTGTCTGTTATAGTGGATAACGTGTTTTAGAAATTTAATGAAATATTGTCAGTCCAAGTTTTTGCTTATTGTTATCCGCTAATGTTTCAAGAGATCTCACATTATAGCTCCACCTACTGTAATTCTGCATTCTGCCACTCTCGGTATCACAGAAGAATCTTCAAATCCAAACCTGATGCCTGACCAGACTTGTAAATTCTTATTTTTAACCTTTGAAAAAAAATTTCGGAAGTGCAGCATGAAAGAGATGGTACTGACTTTACCAAGGGTGTAATTTCATGACTGTTTGGCAGGTGTGCGCTGTGGCTGTGTGTGTGTTTACACAATGTATTTAAATTTTGCAATACTGGAGGAGAGCAGGACTGTTCAGGAGCAGACTTTGGTTCATCTGGGACAATGGCCCAGCCAGTCACTAGTCCTTTATGTTATATGAAGTGATGAGAGAGGCATCATTGTCCCTTAAAAGTTTGGTTTCAAAAGCCCGTCTTGCCCTTCGTGTGGGCCTCTGTGTGAGCCCAGAGTACTGCGTGTTTGTGGTGAACATTGTTCTTAAAGAAAGGTGTCCTACTCGGACTGTGTGACAAGCTTGGAAAACAGATTCATTTGCTTGTATAAGTAACAACTCAGTCCTCACACAGTCATGAAACAATTCAGGTTGGAAGGAACTTCAGGAGATCTGAGGTCCAACCTCCTGCTCCAAACAGGCTCAGGTCTGAGCTCGGACCCTGTTGCTCAGGGCTGAAAAAGCTTTCCGTAGCCAGTGTTGGTAGACACGAACGCAGAAGCACGCTGGGTTTCCTTCTGCCCCCACGTATTCACACCAAGAAAAGTAATTCAGCCATCCCTTCTAAAAGCAATTATTCTCCAGCAAGTTCCCTTCTCTCACCGCTTGGTGTCTTGTGTAGCAAAATGGCAGGATGCCCGAAAGTCTTTGACTCACGAGTTCCTCCAAAACAATCAACTTCTAGATGAAAAGCAGTCAGGGAGCCAAAACCGGATCTATAGAAAGGTTTGGTTACAGTATTTGTAAGTGGGCACAATAGGCTTTTGATGTTGATACGGTGTGTAACAGAGATGCCAGCAGGTTTGAATAAGTGGCAAACCATGATCTTTTGACTGCTGAAACTGAAAACTATGCAATATTTCACAATGATGTGGAAACAAGTATCATATGCTCTGTTGTCATAGTTACGTTGTCTTCCAAGTACAGTATTTTGGAGTTGGTTTTTTTCTTGGAAGGATTTTTTCAGCTGTGATACAGTATTATTAGTTCTGTGGGCTGCTTTTGAGGGTCTGTACCTAAATTAGAATTAAAGTGTCTATTAAGAAATTGTTATGTACAGTTATTCCCTAGGCCAGCAAGGACATATATACAGACAAAGCTGAGTATCTACGTAAAACCTGCTTAATACGCTCAGGCTGTGGGGTAGGGCCGTGTCAGCTTGCACGTCACCGAAGGAACCTCAGTATGTAAATACAAGCTTTTGGTTTTCATGTGTCAAACCAGCACTTAACGCGTACAAAGAATCAGAGCATAAAACCCTCTCGTTTCATAAGACAGTCATTTATGGACTAAGCCATATCTATTGAGTTTTTGATCCAAGAATGATGCTGCTAGTACAATACAGGATACTCCAGGGTAGCTACTTAGGCAAGGATTAGCTTCCAGCTGTGCTGTAAATACTATTCTGAACTGGATTGTGCTCTCCCAGTTGCATAGCTTTGCAGCCAAAGTTGATTTACATGTTAGGATTGGCATGGGGCATGTCTCTTTGCTCTTAATCTGTTTGTTTTCACAAAAAGTAAATTGACGTTACATTTTTTCTTAAGCAAGCTGGAGAAGTTCAAAATGTGCAGGAAGCTTCTTCAGATACAAAAAAGGAAAGTCTGCCTGCAAAGGCGTGGAACTGAGGTTCAGGTCACATATAAAGTCCCCATCCTCTGTGTGGTGCAGAAGCCAAGGAGAGAAGCCACTTCTGTCGTCACCCAAGGAACTTGACGGGTACAGAGGAAACCTAGATGAGAGGAACACAGTGATCATAACTATATAATGAGTTATTTCTCAACTGATTAGTTATTACCAATAAAAGGCAATGGGTAGGATCATGAGACATTGACACTCCTGTAACATTTTGCAGAAATGGAAATCGTGCTTAACCTACACCATGTACATACCTCCACTTAAAGGTCAAGTATTTTCTGTCAGTTCTTGAAACACAGACAGAAAGGAATTACAAAAGCTTATTTTTGTTATTTGCCTTTTGCGTACACTTTTTATATTAATCTCAAGATACAATTGTTTTACTTTGAATCAGAACTGGTTAGGTCAAAACCTGCCAGACTCTGTTGTGGTGTTGAGAACTGCATCCTAGTTCATACTGTCCATTCTGATTGTGAGACAGCAGCAGCAGCTGTAACCTGACTGCCCTTAGCAGTAGGAATTATTCCTGTATTGCATGTCTTCATTATCAGACTCTGATCAGAGCCTTCACAGTACTCCTCTTTTCAACATTTTGAAGACCTGCTCTTTATTAGGATTTGAGTGACATTTCTGACCATTATGACACAGTGGTAGGAGCACAACTGGTATGAACTGGTATCCCCAATGTTATACAAACTGTGAGGAATTTGAGGTTATCTCACACCAAAGGATCCCCAAAACGAGAGATTGGGTTGATCGGTTTCCATCAATACCCACTTGTAGATATATACAGAAGGTTGTTAAGAATGGGTTATAAACTTACCTGTGTGTTATGAGGATGTCCAAGCATGTTCTCCCATCTTCTCTTACCCGTCGGTTCAGCCATTTCTTGTGGGTGATTGTGTTAGCGGACCAAGACGTGTGTCCTCTCTCTGAAAGGACGTAGCTCTTACTCTTTTCAAACATGCAATTTTATTTGCATTTTCTGCATGATATAGGACAGCACATACTAATTACTCAACTGTTTGCTGCTTTTCAGCCCACATTCTTCTGACATCCTTGTATTTGGCTTACCTATACTCTTCATAAGCTTTGAAATCAGTAGGAGAAAGGTACCTAGTATCTTTGATATGGGAGATTTTGTTCCACAATGGGAATACTATAAAAAATTACCTTCAGTATCTTCCCTGGTGTTACCTGTATGAATGACATCTAATAAGAGCATAGTCCTTTCCTTCAAGTGGCACGCGGTCTCGCGTCAACAGAATCCAGACTACAAAAGGGAAAAGAGCAGTAGGAGGGGGCACCACCAGCATAAGTCTGTGGCACTGTTAGGTTTGATGCATTTGCTACACCTTTGTGTTTCTTTTTCTTTTCCCTGTTTTGTTTCTCTTGAGTTACGTTTAAGCTGTTTTCAAGACCCCTATGGGATTTGTGAGAACAAAAGGGAATAAAAAAATAAAAGGAGAAACCAGCAGAGGGGAATAACATTCCAGAAGCAGGATGGGGTGGTAGAAAACCAACTAGTATAGTACAGTAAAGGCAAAACCCGAGTCCTTGGAGGAAGTCAGTGAGATGAGCAACGGGGCCAGACGTGATGGGTGACGGTGAACAGGGCCTGAGCACAACATGCTGGAAGACAGCGCAGGAGTAGGACTGACAGTGACAAGTGTTGGTCATGAGCTAAATACGGTGTTTCACGATGATGTGGTGAATTTGGAAAACTAAGCAAAACAAAGACTTCCAACGTTTTTTTCCCTTCATCCATATTTGCAGTCACCTTTTACGGACTGTCTGGTGTAGTTACCCAGTTTCACTACGTATTTGAAAATAAACTACAGGGCTTTTGTTTAGTCTGTAACATCATCGTTATTCAACCTATTACTTGAAGTAGTTTAATTTCATTCTTATCTGTTTTGACAGCTGAATCTTATCTTCCTGGTGATCACATTGTGCAAAATGGTGAAGCACTCAAACACTTTGAAACCAGACTCTAGCAGGTTGGAAAACATTAAGTAAGTGCTTTGTGTTCAAGTATGAGAACTATGATTATTTTCTGATTGCTCAACTGATTGAAAGCTACTCTCCATTAGGAGCACATGCCATTGTCTCCCAGCAACTGCAGATGTCAATTAGAAGCAAACAGAGCCAATCCTGCTTTCGTCACATTGTTGCTGTAATGTCACAAACGCCGGTCAAAATTAGATAATTTCAGCCTGGAACTAGTGCCAAGAAACTGTTTCACGGAAATGCCACAGCACTGTAGTAATTTCATTTGCATTTAAAATGCAGTTCAAAAAGGATGTTCCTGTTTGCATGGCTGATATGATTATATTAAGTTTGTTTTGTTAAATGACTTTTTGATTTAGGGATTCTGAGCAGTTTCTACTCGTAATCCTGTTCTCCCAGGAGAATTGACTCTATTATTATTGTTAACTTGAAGATTATCTGCTGTTTTCATGCTAATTTAACAAGTGTTTACTTTATCATGGTGCTGTACTGCAGCATCCCTTTTGCAGAGTAATATATGTTATATAATTAACAAGGCTTTGGCAGCTCTTGCTTCTTTAGATAGTCTTTTACTGTATTCTGTAGAGCTGTACATTGTACTGAAGGTTTTTGTTACCAACAGTGAAGGGATGGTGCAACTTTCTAACACTGAGGGTTGGCTGTGAAAGCGTCTTACAGATTTGCTTTGAATGTTGGAAATGGCAAAGGGAGATTTTCAGTAAGGCTGACATTGCAAACTAGATGTTCTAGATAGGTCAGTATCAGCTTCATTGCATGTTGCATGATGAGAGAGAGAGCTAATCTTTAGCATCTCTCTCTTTTCTTCCTTTTCCTCTTTCTGTCTTCTCATCCACACCAGTAATTACCGTGTTTGTGATGGCTACTATAATACGGACTTACCTGGGTAAGATAGAACCCTACATTAACAAATTTCTGGCATGATTTTTAACTTTACAAACTCGGTCAATATTGTGGATTTCCCTTACTTTTAATTAACTAGTTTTGAGATATCTGATTTGCTAAAGAATTTTTAACTATTATATGCCTTTATAATTTTAAATTGCTTGCCTCTGCATTTTGAATTTACTAATTTTGACTAATTTTGGTAGACAATTAAAAATGCTCTTATTAATTTCTGTTTCAATTCTGTCTAATAATTTTGTTTCTCTTTTTTGCTTATAATGCTTTCTAGCTATGAAGATAATAAGCCATTTATCAAGTAAGATCATTAGTTAGATGTGGAATTCACTGACTAAACTCCCTTTCCCTTTCATTCTGTGCCGTTCTCTACAATTCCTTTTCCTTAACCTATTCATGATGGAATCTTTTTTAGACTATTCTGTAGCGCAATATCCATATTTTTGTCACATTTCAGCAGGGTTTCTTCATGCGGAAGTTAGATCATCTAGCTTCAGTTTAGCTGAGTTTACCGGAGCATTAAAGATTGGGGCTCTAGGCTTTTAATCTGCTGTTTAACCTCTGTGCGTTTGTGTTACACTATTTGGTGTCATATGGCAGCACCACTGTTTAAAATCTATGGTGTGATTAGCGGCTGAGCCAGATTTATCAATCTCTTTTCTAAAAGCAGATAAAGCAATGGAGTAGCTGGGGCTTGCGCTATACTTCTGCATTTCAAAATAGTTCTGATATCCTATGCAGTTTTTGAGAAAGAAAAAGGTCATATCTACTCTTGCTGTTTTCACTGGAGACTAAGCACTAAATGGAATTGTTCTTTCTTTAATAGATAAAAGGTTAAACCCAAGGAATTTTTACATTTGAATATGAACCTAGTAAAAGTCAACTGCAGGAACTGAAATGTTAATATTGGATTTGGCGACATGCATTCTCATAAGTAATGTTACTAAAATTAATTTTCTCTTACAGATCTTGGGTCCTGGGTGCGTTTGCTCTCCTGTGTCTCCTTGGCCTAACGTGGTCATTTGGCCTGCTGTTTATCAATGAGGGGACCGTTGTGATGACGTATCTCTTCACAGTATTTAATGCTTTCCAAGGAATGTTTATTTTCATCTTTCACTGTGCCCTTCAAAAGAAAGTAAGTTGTTGAAAACACAGATGCGCGTTCCCTCACTCCTTAAAAATACCACATATATTTCTCGGAAAAAAAGAGAGAAAAGAAATAATCATGTCAGGAATTGGAGTATATATAAATATACTTTTATATTTTATATACTTTTATATTTTATATATAAATAGTTCGAGGAGGGAGGTTAGAATTCCAAAGCCGTTCTTGCTGTGGGTGCTTGTGGGAGTCAGATAACTGCTCTGTGGCCTAGGCGGGTTTAAAATGGA